CCGTTTTGCTTTGTGGATTACAGTTAAGCGATTGGATGGATCTCAGAAGAGATTTTGGACTTTGGACTTTTAACATTGTTGATACTGCTAGAGACTATGGGGACTTTGGAAGTTGGACTAAATGTACTTTTTTATTATGCTATGGCTAGATGTAGCTCCCATAGACTCATGTGTTTGAAGAAGTCTATGGGGGCTAGGGAGTGGAATATGATGGTTTGTATATGCTTGACCCAGGGAGTGGCACTATTAGGAGGTGTGGCCCTCTTGAAGTAGGTGTGTCACTGTGGGTGTGGGCTATAAGACCCTCATTCTAGCTGCCTGGAGTGAGTATTCTGCTAGCAGCCTTCAGATGAAGATGTACAACTCTCAGCTCCTCCTGCACTATGCCTGACTGAATGCTCCCACCTTAAATGATAATGGACTGAACCTCTGAACCTGTAAACCAGCTCCAATTAAATGTTGTCCTTATAAGAGTTGCCTTGGCAATGGTATCTATTCACAGCAGGAAAACCCTAACTAAAACAGACACCAATAACCCAATTTAAAAATAATATACAGAGGTAAACAAAGAACTCTCGACAAAGGAATCTTGAATAGCCAAGAAACTCTTTTTTTTTTAAACTATTTATTTATTTATTTATTTATTTATTTATTTATTTATTATATGTAAGTACACTGTAGCTGTCTTCAGACACCCCACAAGAGGGCATCAGATATCATTGCAGATGGTTGTGAGCCACCATGTGGTTGCTGGGATTTGAACTCATGACCTCTGGAAGAGCAGTCAGTGCTCTTAACCACTGAGCCATCTCACCAGCCCGCCAAGAAACTCTTAAAGAAATGTTCGAAGTCCTTAGTCATCAGGAAAATGCAAATCAAAACAACTTTTGAGATTCCACCTTAACACCAATCAGAAAGGCTAAATTCATAACTCAAGCGACAGCACAAGCTGGTGAGGATGTGGAGCAAGGGGAACATCCTCCATTGCTGATGGGAGTGCAAACTTGTACAACCACTCTAGAACTAAACTGGCATTTTCTCAGAAAACTGGGAATAGTTCTACTTCAAGACCCAGCTATACCACTCCTGGGCATATACCCAAAGAATGCTCCAACATCCCACAAAGATACTTGCTTAGTTATGTTCATAGCAGCTGTATTCATAATAGCCAGAAACTGGAAACAACCTGGATGTCCCTCAACTGAAGAAAGAACAAAGAAAACGTGGTACATTTACACAATGGAATACTATTCAGCTGTTAGAAACAAAAACATTATGAATTTTGCAAGTAAATAGATGGAAGTTGACAATGTCATCCTGAGTGGGGTAACCCAGTCCCATAAGGACATGCATGGTATGTACTCACTCACATATAAATGGATATTAGCCACAAAATACAGGATACAGACACTCCACTCCACAGACCCAAAGAAGCTAAACAAGAAGAAAGGTCCAAATGAGGATGCTTGACGTTCACCTAAGGGGAATAACATAGTCATAGGAAGCAGATGGAGATAGGGAACTGTGTGGGGAGAGGGGAGAGGGAGGGAATGGGGAGCTTCAGGAACAGGTGTGGGAGAGACAAGGAGATGGACCGATGGCTGTGAGAATGAATGGAAACCTGCAGCTGGCAGGGATGGGGATGGGTGACATCTCGAGGATGTGCCAAGACCTATGGATATGGGAGACTCCCAAGAATCAATGGGAGTGACATTAGCTGAGGCTCACAGCAATGGGGCTATGGAACCTGACGGGGCCACCTCCTGTAGCAAAGCAGGAACCCCACTGGAGAGATAGGGACACCCAGCAGCTGACTCAGATGCAGAGACCCACAGCAAACATTAGATAAGAGTTTGGGAACTCTTAAGGAAGAATGTGGGGAAGAATTGAGGACCTGACTGGGATAGAAAGCCACAGGAAGCCCAACAGAGTCAACTAACATAGACCCTTGGGAGCTCTCAGAGACCGAATCACCAGCCAAAGTGCAAACAGGGGTTTGACCTAGGCCTCCCCACATATATGTATCAGATGTACAGCTTGATCTTCATGTAGGTCCCAAACAACTGGATTTAGGGCTATCCCTAAACCTGTCTGTAGAATACATTCTCTTAACTTAGCTATCTTGTTTGGCCTCAGTGGGAGAAACCCTGCAGAGACTTGATGTGCCAGGCTTGGAGGGATACCTGGGGGGGGGGGGGGGAAGCATCCACTTTCTCGAGGAGAAGGGGAAGGGGATGGGAAAGGGACTGTTGTAGAAGAGGGACCAGGAGGGGGAGCAGTGATCGATCGAGATGTAAACAACAACAAAAATCCAATCAACACAAGTCAAATAAATTGAGCAAACAATTCTCAAAAGTACAATGTCAACACATTAGCCAGTAAAATGGCTCACTAGGTAAAGGCTCTCGCCATGCAGCCTGGCCAATCTGAATTCAATCCTACCCCACCCCTAAAGCCACATACAGGCACATATGAGAGAACTGATTCCACAGTATATTGTCCTCTGACACGTGCACTGTAGCGTGTGTATGCTCACACACACACACACATACATATCATATACACATAAAATAGTAAATAAACAAAATTTAAATAGCAAAAAATATGAAAAAATATTTGACATCCTTAGCCATCAGAAGATTTCAAATCAGAGTACATTAAGATTCCATCTCCCCCCCCCCCTCATTGGAATGGCTGTCATCCGGAAATCAAACAACAAAAGCTGAGGGGGACACTGAGAAAAAAAGCCCCTTCTCTTCAGTTGGTGTGAACGTAAATAGCACAGCCATTATGGGACTGAGTATAGAAGTTCCTTAGAGAACTAAAATTAAAGGTACCATCTTATCGTCCTAAGTACCTACAGGAACCTAAGTCATCACAATAATCTGATCATGTGGTAGCACAGGCAGAGGTAGGCAAATCTCTGAGTTCAAGGCCACCCTGGTCAGCAGAGTGAGTTCCAGGATGGCTAGAGCTACACAGAGAAACCCTGTCTCAAAAATACTAACACTAATAATGATAATAATAATATAATTTAAAAGTTGGGCATGGTGACACATGCCTTTAATTCCTACACATTAGAGGTGGGTGGATCTCTGTGAGTACAAGGCCAGCCTGGTCTACATTGTAAGTTCTAGGACAGCCAGGGCTATGTAGAGAGACTCTGGAAGGAAGAAGGAAGGAAGGAAGGAAGGAAGGAAGGAAGGAAGGAAGGAAGGAAGGAAGGAA